CTTGCACATCTTACAATAGAGCTTTCGTGCTCGCTTGTTGAGCGCAAAGGCAATGGCGATGTAAACCCCTTGCAAAGAGCTTAGGATCACAAACACGTACCAAAGAAACACCCACCCAAACGGTGCAGCGAAGCCGAAAACCCATGTGAATCCCATTACGGACGCTATACGTACGTAAACGCCAAAATCACGCTTGCTGGCCGAGTTGTCAACCATTTTGGCTTGGTTTCGGGTAGACCTGATCGATTTTACGGTCAGGTAGAAGAAGACAATGTTGAAGACGGTGACCAGCCCCAGAGGAGTTGCAAAGAAAATCCACTTGGCATTGAAGTTAGTGATCCAGCAGGCTGCACGTGACCCATACCCTATGGCGACTGTCTGTGATTGGTCAAGAGCCACACAGATTGACACGTACACCATGACAGAAAGCCATCCAACAGCCATATATCGTAAGGAATGCAGCAGTCTTTTGTGCTTCGAATCAACCATGGAACGTCTTCCTTTTGTAGTGAAGGTCCTCCAAGTGTCAAAGGCGATGATGGACGTCCACATGAATGAAACCAGGAAAAAGTAGTGAAGAAGAACAGCGATGGCAGTACAAGCCATAGAGTTGTCTGTCTGTCCACTACCAAGAAGCCACAAAAGTTGCGCAAGAAGAATGGCAAYGCTGAGGTTCATGAGGTTGATACCTGGTGCTGTTCGTAGCTCGGTGAACAAGGCATAGATAACGAGGACAAAGATTAGTGCAATAATCGATATCGACATGCAAACAATGGTTAAAAACGATAAGATTTTATCTTCGCTTGACCAGGCTTCATCGATATCAGGGTCCCCGCCAAAGCTATCGCAGACAAAGAGGCTTTGGTTTTGCCAGGTGTACTGTGGTGGGTCGTACAGAGTGTCTGAAGAGTTCACATAGATTGATTGGTTGGTCAGGATCGTATACTCATCACTCTCCATCAGCCCCCACTCTTTTGAACAGTTATCACCTTCAGTATCCCATATTTTACTATTCGTGGATGGTACTTTCCTGCTGGTTGAAGACAACTTGTCTCTGCATTTGTTCTGGTTCTTATCGAAGACTTGTGTATGAGCGCACTTTGCCAGCTGAACTTTGTTGTTCCCTTTTTCAGTAATAAACATGATTTTTGGATCATGCGGTTCTGATAAAAATGATTWAATCGACAAATAAACCCTTTTGCTGTTGTTTATTAAGGATTAAAACAGCGGTTTTATTAATAACACAGATCAAAACCCAATCATAATGGACAGCCGACAGCTAAACGTTATGATCAAAAACCTWATTTCTTAGCTTTGTCTCCTTTTTGGCATGTATACAATATCTCTTTTACCTTTTTTATAAGGTATACAACAATTTAAGTGGTATACATTTCTTACCTACATT